AAAGATAACTGTAAGCCTTGATTATAAAAGCTTTACTGTTATTATTGAGGATAAGCATGCATTTAAAGATCTTGCTGGATCAAGGATGGAGCTCTTCATACGCAGTACTATTAACCCTGCTGGCTCAGGTGTTTACTTTGATCCCATATTACGGAACACAAGCACAGGTATTTTCTTTGTTTTCTGCACAGCTGAAATAAGATGCTTTTCATTGTGAAGCAGTCACCACAGGTCACCTTGTTTCTCTGCACAAGCATTACTTGAAGGCGAATGAATAGGAGAGGCAGCCAAGTAAGATGTTCTGTGACTGCATCCATAGCTATGGGGAAAAGCGTCATTCCCCTTCGTTCTGCAGTGTCGCTTCTGGTGGGGTGATGTCTGTTCCATGGTCACAGTGAATGGCACATGTTGAGTTCTCATGCAAGAAGGTGGGAATTCAGTTTGCTGGGGCATCTTCCACCCCACTATTCCAAAAAATCATTAGCAATGGCACATCAGACACCTTTCCCCCTAATTACCCCAGCTCTTTATGAGGTTTCTTCTCATCAGAACAAAATTGCTTGATCTCTGGGGCCCAGTTTGGTCTGCTTTACTGCTGTGCCTCCCACCTGTGAACAAGTTGGGTGCTCTTGACTCTCCTGCCTGCTCAGAACACCTGTCCTGTGGAAACCCCAACTGCAGAGATCAGGCTGTGCTCAGGGCTGGAATTGTGCACATGTGCAGAAATTTGCAGTCATCCTCCCAGTTCCCCGAGTGCCAATACAAGCGAAGCCAATGGGTGGGGGAAGAACAGGCAAAACAATCCCTCGCAACTCTGGTGCAACATTTTCCTTTACACATTTGAAGTGCTTTCCAAAAGCTGACAGGTTACTGAAGGGAAAACTGAAGTCTGAAGCGACCTATAGTGTAGCTGAGCATTGAACAGGGTTCTCCTCCCAGCAATACCGGCCCTGGCAGGGAGGTCGTGCTTTATCCCTGTTGCCTTGTAACAAGGTAAGAAAATGACATCCAGAGAACAGAGCCAGCTGCAGATACCTGCTGACAGCACCAGCTTCTCTCATCCTCTATTAAGAGAGCTAAGTAAAGCACTTCTCTATTTCTAGAATGTCTGCTAAATGCAATCAAGACCTAGTACTACAATTAATTGTGTGCAAGCCAAAAGTACACAGCACCTGCAACTTACTGCTGAAGGGAGAAGTCACTTCCATGATGCCAAAGGACAAACACTTGGGAAGATGAAGAGGGGCCACTCAGCACTTTCTTCTGCCTCCTCCAGCGTCAGTAAGGTATAATCTACTGCAACCCTCTGCAGCAGTCCCTGGGATCTTTTCATAGTTGGAGCACATCCCATTTTAGCCTTTCAAGTGCAGCTTGTATCGATCTGCCTCGGCCTGTGTGCCTGAGCACCCACCATGCAGCCCCTTGGGGTTTGACTTCATTCAGCCCCTGCAGAACTCCAGCCAAAATCCAGGGACTGGAGGGATCAGGAAGCTGCCCCAAAGATCTGGGGACATAGGGTAATAGTTTGTAGGCCAAGCAGCTGTGCTGTCCTTCCACCTTTTATTCAGAGTTATTATTTCAAAATCAAAAGTCTTTGCTTCCTCAGCAGTACAGGTATTCTTCCACTACCCCTACCCTTTATCCTGGCCATAGAAAGATGCCCTCGGTCTTGGATATTGATCCCATGGGTTTGTTTTGTGCTGGGAAATGCCAGGTCAGGCTGACTGGCTTAACCATGTACAGACAGTTTTGTACACAGCTGAGTTTCCTTCTGAACTAAAAGCAGCATGCAGAATGAAGTCTCACAGGAGCAGAGCACTTATGCACAAAAGCACATCAAATGGTGCTGCATGTTACAGGGGACTCACCACTACCCTTGGGTGCTTCACAGAAACAAACACAATAGGCCATTGTAGAACCATGCAGTCAAAATTCCTGCATTAAAAAAAAAAAAAAACAAAACAAACAAACCACAGAACCTAAAAAAAGAAAACCCCAACATCTTACAGAGTCAAGCAAGAAAACCACTACTGCCATTAAAAGTGGACCATGTATCAACTCCAACTTTTCTGCATGTCTTGTTCAATGCCCTGCCTTGCCCTCTCTTTTCACACTAAACAAGCCCAGCCAGCTGCTGAGACCTGACACAGTCATACAGTACAGCTGGAGGCTGCTGACCAGCAGTGTCCACACTGCAGGAGCAGATCCTGCCAGGAAGAGCCTCGTGGTGTGTGCCTGACCTGGCTGGGCACAGAGCTGCTGAAGCACCCAGAGCACAAAGGACTCAAATCACCCATTTCTTGTGAGGGTGGACACAGCTCCCCATACAGAGAGCCCAGTCCTCAGGCTGGGCTATAGGGATGGGCTGATACTCCTGCAACAGCAGAAAAGGAGGAATCTCCCCAAGGTTCTCCCTAGCAAGGAAATGAGCGTCTTACCAAAAATGTGTGTTTTCCATACCTTTGCTCCTCTCTAAGCATCTACCTGCAGAGGTCCTTGCCTGCATGTCTCTGCAGGACACTCTCCCTTTTCCCACCCTCCCTAAAGACATAATGTGGCTCACCAACCTTCTCCTCAGGACAAAGCTGCCCCTAGTTAGAGAACCACCCCCTACTCTACCTCTATCACAGGTGATCTGACTTTCCTTCTGCCTTCTCACCTGTGGGTGGGTGCAGCTTAAAAAGACATGGGGCAGGTCCCTGTGGCCAGAGAGTAGTGGAGTTGTGTGTGGCCACCAAGGGACAGTTTAATGAACAAGGAGGGTCCTTCTAGTCTTTGTCAGAGAGGAAGATGAAGAAGATCAATCCTTAATGGTGCTGTTCAGCTACTACCTGAAGATGAGATAAGTGTCTGCAGTTTGCAATGCTGCCTTTGGAAAATAAAATAAGAGGAGAGGAATGAACTATAATGTGTTAGTGGAAATGTCCTTGTGCTCAGCTCACCAAAGGTGGGGGTGCTGTGATCACCCCTTCCTAATTCAGAGTGTAGCACTGCTCCTGGGGCTTTGCCATGACTGAAGCTACCCAATATAAACCAAGTGCCCCAAGTGTAACTGAAAATGAGTAACTCTGCCAAGTACCTGCTTAGTCTTTCTTTAAAAAACAAAAAGAGACAAATATAAATGAAAGTAGAATCTTGCAGCCTGTGAAGCTATTGTGAACTTTTCTCCTGCTGCTTGTTGTGACTCCTGTGTGCTCAATGGTACAGGGACTTCTTAAATGCAACGTTGTACTAGGTGATAATCCAAAGAAACCATGGGAATTACTGGAATAAGGCAAAAGTGGCCTGATTGACATAGTCTGTATCAGTTGTGTACTGTGTATTCAAACAGCTTAAAGGTTTTACATGAGAACTTTGTTCTGGTGTGGCTGCCCTGGCTCATGCCTCCATCCTTGTCCTGCACTCCTCCTTTCAGCAGTGAGGAGTTCCTTAAATAACTTGAAGTCTTACTTTTTGTAAAACTTGTTTTGATTTCCATGTTGGTATGTTGTCCCAGCCAGTAATTTGTCATGTGATCTGTAAACTTCTTGTTCTTTGATAATAGTAGCTGAGAGCCCTGTGTAAGAGCAGAGAAGTCAGAGGGAAGGAAGGTTTGAGAAGTGACTTTGCTGAGCATTCAAACAGCTGTAGGGCAGCTGCAGCTCTAATGCAGGCTAATGCAGCCTTCCTCTGGGGTCAGGCTGAAGAAGCAGGGGGAAGCTTCAACAAAATGGTGGAGATGGATGTGTTTCTGAACCATGCTAGTCTTGTTCTAGGCAGGTTTCTCTGAAGTAATTCCTGTGCTGCTTTCAAATTGAAGTGTGTTTTGGCTTAAGAATAATAATCACTCTGTGATCAGCCGGGGAGATGTGGAAAAGGAGAAAATAGCGCACAATTTCAAGCACTGCAGTTATCCTTCCTAAGTCTGCATGTTCACCACACATGGAGCAGGACAGCTGCCTGTGTGGGGAGGAGTGGTTTAAGCAATATCCCCCAGGGCTCCCAGTTTGTCTTAAAACCACTGTGATACATAATCTAATGAGTTGCAGTGATGAAGAGAAATGTCTCCTAGGTACATAATAGGTAATAAGAGTCTAAATACTTGAGAATCTACTGGAATAAAAATAATTACTCTATTAATATATCTCATCGGTATATTAAAATCTGCCAAACATCATTATGAGGAAGCATGTGGTAACAGCATGAAACTGATACAATATTCAACAGCAGCCTTGTGGGAGCTGAAATCCCCTCTCCTCCCATGGGGAGAGTCAGTAAGAACAAGAGTTGAATTTAGGTGCATCTCACCTGACTGTTTGTTTCAGGAAATAAGCATCTGTAATCAGTCATGCTGTTCAGAGAGAAAGGAAGGCATTGATAACATAAGTCACTTAGTAATTTTTAAAGATTGGGACAGGTGGTTCGTGACAGTTTTCTCCATTACCCATTAGATGACACAGGGGATACATCCCGAAAATGTCTTCTTCTCTGACTGATCTTTTAAGGCTGTAATTTGGCTTGCCATGAATGTCGCATTCCAGGAGTTTTAAAGGGAAAGCGGTGATGGCACCGAGGGATTCGGGGAACGCAGCTCAGTGCGGCTGTTGGGCACGGACGGGTGGCGGGCAGCTCTGGCTGTCGGAGGTGCCGAGTCTCCCGGCAGCGGGTGAGTAGCGCGCTGCTGCGCCAGGGATGCAATCATGGATCCCCCCGGCGTGCTTCCTCCTCTCCCCGAGCGCGGGCCGGGCGGCGGCGCGCCCGGGGACGGTCCCGCTGCCCCGGCACGCACAGGGGCCGCCGGGGCCAGGCACCTGCCCGGGGCACAAGCGACACTTTAAAGGACCGCACTTCCAAAAGCAAAGGCGGCTTCGGCGAGAGGCTGAGCCCGCCGGCGAGGCGGCAGCCCCCGTCCCCCTCCCCTCGGTGGCGGTTCCGCCCGCCGGCATCCCCGCGCTGCGGAGGAGCGTCCCCGCCCGCGGCAGGAGCAGCCCCGGCTCGGGGCGGCCGCCGGGCCCGGTTACCTGTAGGAGGTGGTGTGGCCGCCGTCCGCCTGCGAGCGCGGCCGGAGCTGCTCGGGGCCGTCGATCGCCGTTCTCCCGCCGCCGCCGGGCAAGGCGCAGGCGGCGCGTCCCGGGGCGGGCTGGGGGGCGGCCCCGTCCCTCCCGCCGCCGCCGCCGCTACTGGCGCTGACCCAGGGGAAGGCGTCCCTCCTCGGGAGGGGCCACGCTCTGAAGTCCTGCCGGTACTGGGTCTCGGCCGCGAAGGGCTCTCCGGCGGCGGCCGCCCGGCCCTTCCTGCGGCCGCTCGGCTTCCCGGCGGCGGGATCCCGCGGGCGGCGCGCCGGGGCAGGCGGGCGAGCGCTGCCCCGCGAGGGGGGCCCGCCGCGCTGGGGCGGCCCGTCCTCCTGCTCCTCGATGTCCGAGTAGTTGTGGATGGTGAGCGGCACAGAGAGGTCGGACTTGTCCAGCTGGCTCCAGAAGCGGGCCAGGCAGCACACCCGGCTGATGCAGGGCCAGGCCATGGCCGCGGCCGCAGCCCCCGCCTCGCCCGCAGCGACGCCCGCGGCTCCGGCGCCCGCAGCCGGCCGCGCTCCCGGCTTCAGCCCTCATCGGCGGCAGCCCCTCCTCCCGCCGCCCCCTTCCCCGGTAACGACACCCCCTCGCCGGGATTACGGCCCGCACACGTGACCCGGCTGCCGGTGGGAGCCCCGTGCAGCGGCGGGGGAGGGAACGCGGCCGGGACCGGACCCCGCGCCCCCCGGGGGGACCCGCTCTGCCCGTGCGCCGCCGAGTGCCGCTGTCTGTGCCGCTGCTTCGGGAGCCGCTCTGTGCCCCGGAGCGCCGAAGCGCGCCCAGTCACGGGCACCGGCCAGGCGAGGAGCGCTGCTCCGCTGTCGATGGTTGGTGCTGCTCAGTTATACCCTCGAGGGGTATAATCGTCACCACTCACGATTAGAGAAAACGTTTGTATACGAAACCTGGCGTTTAAAAAATAAGTGATCCTTATGAGAAACAGCAACCTTGCAGTATTAGTTTCCAATAGCTGCGTGCAAAACCCCACCTCTCTTAATCTCCCTCCCTCCATTTACATTAACAGTTTAACCACTTCACTTTTAAAATACCTCCTATTGACCAAAATCCAAGCATCCGCGTATCCTAATATAGGGCCCACCTCCTTTACTGTTTGCCAGAGACTGTAAATTACAGCTTTCCTTTTGTACATTCAGGTTCAAAACCAAACAGTCCTGGCACAAAACAGTGAAACTGACGGAATTACATCGGGGATAAGCCGGGCTTTTGAAATTTTATGTCTTATGTAATAAGTGGCTACGGGCCATAATGCTCCTCCACAATTTCCCATTCAGTGTGTTATTACAGAGGAAGCTGAATCTCCCAGAGGGTCACTAAACTATAAGGCTTTAGAAGTGAAGAATGCAGATAAACTGAGATCCCTCCTGTTAGAAAATCATATACTCTAGTTACGGGTGATTATCTGATAAGATAGGTGTAATGGCTTTAAACTGGAAGATTAGATTAGATATCAGGAAGACATTCTTCCCTGTGAGGGTGGTGAGGCACTGGCAACAGGTTGCCCAGAAGATCTATGGCTGTTCCATCCCTGGAAACATTCAGCATTGGATGGGGCTTTGAGCAACGTGGTCTAGTGGAAGGTTCCCTGCCCATTGTAGGGGGGTTGGAACTAGACTATCTTTAAGGTCTCTTCCAACCCAAACCAAACATTCTATTCTATGAAGCATTATTAAGAAAATAATTATGCAGTGGAACTTGAGAAGGTTAAGATCTACTGCTTTGTTTCAGCTGAGCAGTACTGCTATCTGTAGTGTATTAGCACCTCAGTTCAGATTTGCACTTGCTTCTGGCAGGGAGAAAGGCTAGAAATGTGGGTATGGGCTGGGGCAGAACCTCCCCTTGAGTGTTTGGCCTCTCTCTGAAACATAGTCAACAAAGGAGCAATTCCTTCGCAGATGACCCTGTTGTCTCAAATACCTGTTTTGGCAGTTGTCAATGCTACTAGCAGCTTTGATTTCATCACCACCCCCTCACCCTCACAAATTCATTGGGGCAAGGAGACTTGGAAATTTCAGGTAAAAACATTTTGGTCCCACACAGAACTCTTGTCACAAAACTATTTAGGCTATTGGATGCTGTGTTAAATTTGTTGTCTGAAAAAGCCACAAACATACTTTTAGGAATATGCAGGGAGACATTTCTTAATTTTCTGCTGCTCTTGTTTTTTTAGAACTGCTCTGTTCTACATTGTAATTTTTAAAATAAATCATATCTGGTAAAGAGAAATAGACTTTACAGCCATGGGAGAAAGCAGAACATCTGCTTTATCATGTTATCTGTGGCACAGTACAAATGATGCTCTGATCCTTGTTCCTAGGCCTGACTTAGCAAAATACATGGTAGAATAAATCAGATGTCTCTGCTCATCCTGTGCCTGCCACTTCCTAGTACTGAATTCAGCTCTGGCAACGCATGTCTCAGAGCCCACCTACAGCACCAGGGAGTGCTTGGAGCAGCTGCTCATCACAGCTTGTAGGATGAAATTGGCACAAAGGCTAACACAGACAGGAAAACCAGAAGATGCTGGATGAGATTAAAAAGTTGCCTGCATTTAGAAGATTTGTCATGATTAAAAGCTGGGGGGAAGGGGGGAGGAATACTGCAACAGTAAGACAAAGAAAACCCATCAAATCAGAAAGCAAAACAGCTCTTGCTGCCAGGAATGGGGGCTGAAAACTCTAAGTTAGTTTTAATACTAAAATGAAACTCCAAATAGGGCAGATCACTGAAATAAAATATTCCTTAAACATGGCAAGGCCAAAGCAGACTTTAAAGCCACTGAAAAAAGGTGAAGGATTGTGTCTCTACATGACTAACCATGACTTTATACTTATTGCTGTTTTCCTACACAAACACTAGCTGTTGTCTCTGCCAACTGTCTGCATAATCACCACATTGTATTTTTATTCACAATAATCTCTTTGAAAATTTTTCCATGTGGTTGGTTCTTTTTGTTGGGTTTTTTTCTAGGGTTGGGGTTTTAGTTTGGGTTTTTTTCATTCTTCTAATTTGTCATTCAAATGTGTGACTAAATACTGAGATACTGACATGCTGATGCCAGATTTTGCAAGAAGGGTATTTGCTTGCCAGAAAGGTATCTTATTTAGTCTAGTGAGCTGTCATGATTCCTTGTCTGACTGACTTAAGAGTTGACTTTCCTATTGCAGTTTTAAGGTAATTTTGGACCAGAGAAGACAGTTTGCCTTTGCCAGACAATGCTGCACAAAGGCTCAGGTGCAAACAACTGCACAACCACATGAAGATTTTTGTACAGCCTTACATATGTTACACACCTCTAGGGTTTCTATAACGGAGGAAGATTCATACATTGAACAGGTTGTTGAAGGGTGAATGCTCTTAAACCTAAGGTTAGGGGTTAGGCATGAGACCCTCAAGCCACAGCCACCGGCTGAAAAGCTGGTGACTTCCAAACCTCTGTGGTGGTTCCAGGATGGTTTTTCAGGTGCTTTATGTCCCTTTCTGCAAGGGTGCACACACAAGTCTATCGCTCTCAGTAGCGATAGAGGGGCATGACTTCTCTGAGGTACTGGCTGCTATGTTGAAGAACTTAACAGCAACTTTGGCTTATCCTTCTAGACTTGTAAAAGATAAATGTCTTTCAGGGCTTACACACTGTATTTCCTGCAATATTACTCCCTGCTTTCAGCTAGGATCTCTGAAAAACTCTCAGCAAATACCTAATTGTTGAAGGGACTAGATAAGTTGTTGAACGGACAAGAAGTAATGCAAGGAAGAAAAAGGGGGTAAAAATAAAAGGAAGTGGGCAAAGACAACAATAGACAGATAAACCCAACGTGTGAAATACTGTGAGCTATGGCTTTTGAGCTTCTTTGGCATGAAATGCTCCCGTTCAGTGGCATCTTCTGACGCTGCTGGCCCCTCCCTGGCTGTGCTGAGCAGTGTGCTCGCTGTGTGTCCCGCTGCCCTCTCTCTGCGGCAGGCAGGGCTGCACTGTGGCTGAAGCCCTGAAAACTGGTGTACTAGTCCTGAGGATCACAAAACGAAGTAGGAAAGGGGGATGTGACAGATTAAAAATGAAAGTCAGAAAATTTCTGGAGCAGAACAAAGGAGTATCAGGTACTCCTGCGCCTTCATTTTTTTAAGTGTTTAAGTTGACAGGCACATAGAGTAACAAATCCTCAAATATCTCATTTTTCCAAGGGAGAAAAAAAATTGGACAAGCACTGGCCTGTGACAATAAGGGCATTTACAGCAATTTTTTATTCCATCACTTATTAAAACTGATAGCATTAAGTATTCTTTATCCCCACAGGAAATGTATTTTCTGCAAGGCATTATTGTAAAGTAAAAAACCTACAAGTTGCTTCTTACAAATGCAGCATGTTCTTTGGCAGGTCAGTCCATCTGGAATGACTAGCTCTGATTACAGGGAGGAGTTAAGGGCTTGAACCCACCAGTTTTTATTTGGGAAGATTCTGTAGCCTTTTGCAAGGGGTTCAGTATTATCTTTGCAGGACAGGCACAGAGCAGCAGCATACCCCAAGTCAAGTTTTTGTTTTTATTTGTAAAATAGGAACATTAGTCATGGTACTACCCTCAGGTTTACTTTAGTAGTTACTTCTGGTTATGGTGTTGCTGATCTCAGGGATCATGGTTGTTATGGCTATGGTGTTGCTGATTTCACCTAGTTTTGCTGAATCTGCTTATTTTCTAGTACTATCAGATTCTGAACCAAATGTTACAGTTTTAAAATCTGAAGAAGGACCTTAAATGGAACTAACAATAAAGCACAACTTAAAGAACATCCCCTCACCCCACCCCCAAATTAATGTAGTGAAAGAACCCAGAAAGCAGTATAACTTACGGCAGAATATCAAAAACCACAGTACGTCATTCTTCCCCTGCACATAATTATGAAAATATACCATTATAGTAAAATCCAAGATGTGAAAGCACCACGGAAGTGTATAGAAATGAAAAACACTAGTTGAATAAGCCACAGCTAACAAATAAAGGTGGACCATTAAATAGTACGTAAACCTTGGCAAACAATCCAGTATTGCTTCGAGTATTTCAAGACTAAGAACAAAAGAGACCTTTGGCTCCTCTCATCCAATCCTTCCAACAATGAAGACCACTGAAGTTCACCACCTTAGCCTTATGTTGAGTCCAACTTGTCTAAAGCTTGCCTTCTAAGAAAGCACCTTGTGTTGTCTGGCAGATATCAGGGGGGTTTGTGATTCAATAACTTCCTCAGTTTATTTTCCTAAGTATTAACCAGTTGTACTGCATTTTGAAGGGTTTTTTTTGTGGACAGAGATTTACATCACTTAATTGAAAAACATGTTTTATTACACCTTTAAAAATGTAATGCAGACTGTTACCTCAGAAAGCAATAGGATAAAAACCTTTATTGTTCCACCTTCGTCAGAGTTCATTTTCTACGGATATGCATTTTTGTAACATAATTTTGTTACATTAGAAAATTCAGCTCCTCAGAGGCTTAATGTGGAGTAGCAAAAAAACCCTTCAAAACCAATTCAGTCCCACATCTTCAAGTAATATACCACTTGGGCACAAGGAATCTCTAGTATTAGAATCAGCTAGATCTTCCACCTCCTCCCTTTCCTGCGTTCTTTGTCCTCAATTCATGCCAAGCTTTCACCAGTGGTTCTCTGTTCTTCCATATGAGCTCATGGCCATAAGTCACGTACCACCTGAGAAAGAAAATAATAGTTAAAATTAACTGCAACTTTTCTTTGCTTCTGAGAAAGAATAGGTTGATCACTAAAATCAAGTACAAGCTTGGTATAGAAGACAAGATAAACTGAGGCACAAAGAACAACATGCTTGGAAAGTGGCAGGTAAGCCACTTGTTCTCTTGACTCCAAACAGTTTACTTTGTGTTCTTGCTTATTTCAGTCCTGAGAATGAATAGTTTTTTCATGCCTTTAATCTTGTGATTTTGTGATTTCTTAAAAAGACATATAAAACTACCTCCACTTAGGAGACTGTTGAAACAGTTCTGTTGCTTGTGCTAATCTTTACTGACAACACCAAATAAAAGTGGTTTTCTCCTACAAAAATACGACTGCCCCATAATGAACAGCCACATTCCACTCAAAGTGAATTTTCTTCTACAGGCATCTAAATGAAGATTTAATCTATCTAAGTGTTCTAGCTTAATTTATATTCATAGAGAACTATATATTCTGATATATGAATATCAACATAAGTGATAAGGGAGGTTATGGTGCAGAGGAGAGGCATGAGGAGAAGCAACCACATGGAAATAGGTTGAAGGTTCTCCCACAAACCTGACTCCACACCTGAGTCCTGAATAACAAAAGCACTTTTCTCAGGGAAACCGGTCACTTTCCAAAGCAGACAACTGTCTGGGAGGCAATATATAAAAAATACTTTGGCCATTCAACATATGCCCTAAATAAAGGCCCTGTTTTAGGATGAAGTGACCAAAATGATCACAGAGTTGAACAAACAGGTAAAACAGTGTAGGTGAGGAAAGCAAGAGACTTGTCAACTCAAGACAATTTTTACTGCAACTGCTATCCTTTTTTAGTATGTGAATCTGCATTATAATGCAGATTGTTCATTCACTTGTGATGCCAGAGAAGGGGAGGAGACAGTGCAGCACAGAACTTACTGACACCAAAGCCAAGACATGGCAAACACTTTGTTCTACAAACCGGTTTGCCGTTAAATCTGGCCTAGTGAAATCTCAGGCAGGCTTTTCAAATGCCTACCTAACATGTTTAAAAAGGCTCTTAGCAATCGTGTGCCAATTAAGACAACGCTGCAATTGGGTTGAAGGGAAAAAACTCGCAATGTAGTTGAAACATGGAACAATACAGAACTGCTTCCTACAAACTTGTTTCTAGTAGTTCTTACTAATTAGGAAAGGTCCACACAAAGGCAGCGCAACAACACTGAGAAAACAGCAGTACAGGCTGCCCAAAGGAATTTGGCCTGGGCTTATATTAACTCTGTAGCTCTCTCTAAATTGGCAATTAGAGGAAAGACACTGAGACAAAGGCATTTTCTTAGCTGTTTAAAGTTATTTTAATTTGTCCATGCTGTTTTGTGAGAATCTTTTCTGCCTTGTGACTCTCTTCAATGTTCTGGGAAGAGCTGGACAGCTAGCCAGCTCAGGTTATGGTGACAGGAAAACCTTACATGTAATCTATGATTCTAAGGCAGTTCAGCTCAATTCTTCCAGTCCTAAGCCTCTGTTAACAGCATTTTCCACAGAATTTTATAGCACTACAAGAACAACAGTGAGTTGTATTCAATGTTAGTTAAGAAAACTTTCAAAAAAACCCACTGTACTTCAGCAATAATAGGAAGTAAAGAGGAAAAAATACAGGATTGATTTAAATACAAAACAAGCAGAAGTTAGTAAATACAGACTTACATTCCAAAGAGAGCTCCCCCAAGGTGTGCAGCATGGTCAAAAAGTCTCCAGCCTAAAGCAAGTCCTGCAGTGTCAAATGCAATTATGGCTTTTAAAGCCTAGAAAGGAAGAGAACATGGAATGGACAGGACCGGTCACAGCACAAAAAATGGCCACTGATAACAGTTTTCTATTCTGGCACAGAGCAAGCATTTGGGATCAACAAACATCATATATATTTTATATCAAATGAATCACTATAAAAAATACATTGTTTTAAAACAACATACTCATTCCTCAGCTGTACTGTGCTGTGAAAATAGACCTGAGCATCTACAGAATAGTGCAGGGTAGGAATGTGTCCTTTTCAAACAAAATACATTTCAAATTCAGGTCAGGAAAAAGACAGAAGTTACCTGAAAGAGTACATGCTATAAAAGACACCACAAAACATGTAATTGCAGCATTCTCATTCTCTAATTCTGATGTAGCTTAGATTTATGTGCATCTGTCCTCCCAAACTCAACCCTCTAGTGGATGGAACATGTGGGGCAGACCCTGTTATCTGACATAAATTGATCATCACACTCTAGTTCTAAAGGGTATGTTTGTTAGAAGACAGAAAATCAGGATGACAGTTAACATGAGCAATGGTGTACCATCCTCAGGAGACATAAGCCACCATAACTGTCAATACACAAAATTTTACTAGATGGCCCATTTCATAAAGACCAACAGATTTAATGTTAGGATTAAATGTTACTTTAGGCAGGAATTCTTTCCTTTAAAATATGTATTAGAATAGCAGCTCTATTGCTACATTGGCTTGTTTATTTTAGAAGCCCATTACAGTATAGGTAAGGTAGGCTAAAGGAGTATGTAAAGTTACATACAATTACATAAAAGGGCTAAAATTATTCCTACTGCAATAGCCAATATTGCTCTTGCTCTGCTGTTGCAATGAGTACTTGATCATGGCAATGCTCTCTGTGGCTCTGCCAGTATTTCTACCCTGGCCATCTTTTCTAAGAAAGATACCATTAAAGGGTGGCATGCAAAAAACCCACATCCACTCAAGCAGAAGCGCAAGGAAAACACAAAGGCTACATCTAAGAACACTTGTTCAAATACGTAAGCTTCCCTTACAAAAAGTATTAAATTTCATGATCTTGGAATGATGTGGCTTAACTGCTTTAAGCAGTAAAACAACTTTAAGTACAGGACCAAAGATGATTAACTTATTAAAACAAGTTAAGATCTACATAAGAAGCTTTCCTTAAATGTGGAAGTGGATGTGCATAAAAGACCTTAATGAAACAAAAAAAAGAGTCCTAGTACTACACACGAAGGAAAGTTTCAGTGGTCTATTATTAATCCCACAAGTGTTCTTAAAAGTATCAAAAGATGATATCTAAAAGAGGAGACAAATATTCCTCCAGGGCTGGAATGTTATCTCCCATGAGAAATGAAGTTTTTCTTTAAAGGCAGTGTGCCAGTATTAGATTAGCCTGTTACTAGTGCTGCTACCAAAAATATCACTCATCAGAAAGAACAGGATGTGTATGCAAGGTTTCCTCAGACAGGCAAACCTGACTCCCTCCCAACTTCTTTCACCTCTTGGGATCAGATCTGAAACAGACCCATGGATGATGGGATTTAGGATAGCTCTAAATTCACTCCACACTGGTGTAGTGGCTTCCAGGCTGCAACAATTCTGATTAGTCCCCATGACTTTCATGACCTGCACTCTCTTTCAAAATAAAATTAACAGCTTAGAAACACAAATGAAGAGGACACCTGCTCAGATATTGGAGAGGTATGGGGAAATTATTTAAAGAGTAGAATTTCTTTGAAGTTCAGTGGCACTTACGCTTCCTGCTGTAAATGTGAACATTGGAAGAAGTATGATGGCCAGTTTTGCTTCGGGCATCTTTGTACATACGGCTGCAAGGACAGTCATTATAGCTCCTGACTGTAAACACATTAAAAGACATCAAAGTAAGCTGAGATGTTACATAAAGGAAAAATTATTTTCCTGCATGTGAACCCCTTTTCCTTTTGGGCTTTTATTTTCAAATGCAGCCCTGTGGTAATACACAAAGTACAAAGCACCACAGCAAAGTTCAAAATAAAAATAAACCAAGACAGCATTATTTCATTTCAATATCTGAAATTATAAGTACTGGGAAAAAAAATCCCTCAAATGCTCTTACATAATTAAGAAATACCCACCCCCCACCCCTGTTTTTAAGATAACAATTTATGTAAATGTGCTTTCACCCAAGTAAGCCCTGGAAATCTAACATAGATTAATCAAACGAAGGGAATAACTCTGAAGCTTGTACAAAATCAAGGAAAATGGACAGGGACAAAAATCTTTTGTCAATGAAACAAGTAATTCCCTGGACTGTACTAAATTGACCATGGGGTTTTGTATCCACAAAATAATCACAATGGAAAGACTCTGAACACAGTAAACTAATGCAATGTGTAGCAATTTCAGTAAGTTCAGATCAGTAAGACTAAGGGAAAGTGACTTGCTCCAGATATAGTTATTCATAAGATAAAGGGACAATACACAGCACTTCTAAAAATTCTAACTGCTGCACAGCTAAACAGATTTTTTTTTTAATTTCAATAGAAAAATGAGAATCCGACTTTTGGCTTTTATCAAAATTATTTAGTAAAGTAAGTTAAGAAGCAAATGCCTATGGTAATCTCAAACTTAAAGCAAGTTAAGTGTTTCAAAACATTCTACTACTAAAAACACTTGTAAAGAACTCGCAACCACAAGAGCTCCTCAGCCTGCCTCACATCTTTCATCCAGTGAGATTTTTGGCAGGAGTGCTGCCCTTCCAGCACAGCATGCCCTACAACTTTCACTGGGATCACACACTGAGTTTGATTGTCTGATTACATATCTCTTTCTAAAGTATTCTATTTTCAATTAGAGAAGACTGATACACAATTATGAAATACTGTTTCTGCAATAAGTTACGTAACTGATCTGCTCAGACACAAGAGGTCCTGCTGTTAAGGACCCATTTACAACCCTTAGCATTAAGTGGCATTAGTTCTGGGTGGCTGCTGCAGCAGAATCAAACATACTGGATGAACAGGAGAACCAGTTCTTGCCTGGGTACTTGATTTTGGTTAACCTTCCTAATTTTCATTCTCTCACATATACTCTTGGCTTTTAAGCAGGTTAAAAAATACAGCAGACTTTCAAAATGGCTTCAGAGATCACTATAAGGTCTCTCACGTTCCAAGATACTTACAGCTCCAAGGGATGGTTCAAACCTTCCAGTGGCCATTTTAGCAACATAACTGACAAAAGTGGAGATAACCCCTAAAAAAGAGAAATTACTATTGGAAACAATGCTAGCAATGCAGACAAGCATCAGAAAGCACAAACTGTCACCTTTTCTCACAAAACTTACATAAGTCTGTATTTTGGTAGCAAAGCATGAATTAAAAACAGACATGGTTTTATCACGGTATTTTGAAGCCCAGTATCCTAAATCTACCAAAAATCTGTATAACAGCAAAGAAGTACTGCTTTTAATATAGAGCAATGGCCATCAGTCATCATACAACTGTTAACCATGCACGCTCTTTACTTGCATGAATACATATTTTTATTTTTAAGTATATATTTTATATATTACCAGCAGAAAGATATACTGCAATGAACTGCTCGCATCCCAGAAGAGAGACAATGCTGCTGGAAAAACTCCATAAAACATACATATTTGCTGCCATGTGGAACAGAGAGAAGTGACTAAACGTAGAGAGCAGCATGGGAGAACACAGGGCTTCTACAAAAGAGAAAAACAATGAACATAAAGAAGTCAGTGCTTTAATTTGCTTCAACTTACGTGTCAACTTGCATGCAAACTAGACATTTAGCAAGACATACTGGGGCTAATTATGCTTAGATTCTCAAATACAAGCTACGATATAAACCCAGAAATAGAACAAATTTCAAATTCCGTTCAACACCTTTGGAAAGGTAGAAGATACACCCCAGAGATATGCAAGCTGCACAGTCTTAGTTACCTACAGGGGATTGTTTCACAGAAAACATTTATCTTATGACATGTGTCCTATGCTTTGAAAAAGGAAAAAAATATATTTATATATGTATATAGTGAAAGATTTTATATATATAAGCAGCTATATAAAATTAACTTGCTACAGAGATGAACTCATAAATCAAAAACAGTTTTATTTTCAAAAAGCTACTAGCTCTCCTCACTGAAACAACAGCCCTGAAAATGCAAACAAGCCAATTAGCGGGTTTTAAGGTCAGCATTATTTAAAACATGAGTGTTTGGGGTGACATGCTCAGATCTGGATAACAGCTATCTTTAGCTTTGGAGCCCATAGAGGAACTAGTTGAATTTCCACTTTTTCAGCAGAAATTAAGAGGATAGCAGGAAGTACTTTCCAAATACATTTGTCTCATCCTTTTAGTTCTTTGCTGTAGAAATGAAAACCAATTGTTCTGCTATTAAATACCAGTAACTTGCTTTCCTAAGTTAATCTCTTCAATACATTTCACACACAGTGAAAGAAAAGTCTGTGCTTAGTTTGTTTTTTTTTAATGTGACTCAAAGCTTTGAAACAAGGACCCCATACACAACATACAGACTAATGTTTGTGTACGGACAAAAGCGTACATGCATGTGACTGATGACTGTTCTATCTGCTCCCACTGAACATTAATCATTTTGAGTCTAGTTTTTGAATGGCATTATGTAATACAATTTATTTTTCTTCTTCCTAAAGAGTGTCTTGATTTGCACTCTGTCCAGCAAAGCAGCTGGGGTTCGAATCACTGAGAGGAGTGCCTCTTCACCTTCACACAGGTAGGGGCTGCATCCCACTGAATGCAGGAAAAGGCCAGATAGCAAGCAACAGTTTTGGTGTTACAATATTTAGAAAAGCACCAGTTTTTTAAGACAAAAGTTTGTCTTAAAAAATCAGATCCATTGCTTCTAATTTTTTCCCCTTAAACCATCTCCTGCCCAGACAGAACGATGTGTTTGGGCACGACTGAGATTGCTTGTGGGTGACGGAGCTACAAGTGAGCCATGTGCCACCTGAAGCTTCTGCAGTATGATCAGACCTTCTATTACATCCCTATGGAGGAAAGTCACTTGAATTACTGTTCACTTACTGGAGGATGGATTTGAGGTGAAATATGTAAACATAATCCGTCGCATGCCGGGCAGCCTCCACAAACAGAATACAAAGGCATTTGCAGCTATAATACCTATTAAGAGGGAAAAATAAGTATAAAAGCAAACTATGAATGTAACACACTATAGTGCTTACTGTAAACGAGTATTTAAAAGGAAGCCTACAAGAATTATACTTTTTCTTCACAATTCCATAAAAGCAGTATACACTTCTTACTTTGCATAGAGTTTAGAAAAAGCAAAGAAAAATACTGAAAGCTACATTTACATAGTGGAAGTCTTTCAGAAAAAATGGCATTTAATTGCAACTGTTTTAACATAGTGTAATGAACACGATAGTCCAGAAAAATCTGTGCTGAGAACGTTCAAGCTGTGGTTTCAAACTCCTATTCCACTGCAGAATCAACGAAATAGGAGCCAGCTAAGAGGTCCCATTTCCTGCTCATCTAGCTTTTTATACTCCAGTGGCACTGTCTGCTGCACAGTTTCATTTAACTGCATAAGGAAAGAAGACTGTGGGAGCCCTACGAACACACAGTACGCATCCTATCCATTTTTGGGAGAGGGAATTGTAAACATTCTGCTTAGAAATCAAGCACAGAAAGTTGAACTGGCATTGCTAGGGCATAATCACCTTTGGGAGACAGCAAATGCACAGCTTTTTACTTCACAGATGTTATTGAAGTCTTTATTTTAAATAAGAATACTTACTTTAAATAAGAATGTAATTTATTAGAAACATAATGACAATTTATTATTTCCTGTTTAAAGCGCCTTCCCTATTTCTGTCCAAGCAGTTATGTATTTAATATGTTTTATAATAGCTAGAAATACTAAGGGGGAAAATAATTGTGATTCCTTTACACAACAGTATATCTCAGATACTTAGTCTCATTTGAAGTTTGCAACAAAATGCAAGGACTGTGAAAAGCTATGACACATATATCCTAGAACTAAAATTTCAATAATCTCTTCTTTCAATACTCCATCCTATTGGACTATGCTCTTCTATTAGAGGAAATACTTTCCCTGAACGCCAAACCAAACTGTTACAGAACTGTCAGCAATTTCAGTACAGTAAGTCCAACCCTGTTATGGCAATCAAGGGTAAGTATCTGAATGGTTCAGGCTTTACCAGCTACAATTTCTATTGCTCCTTAGATTAACTTGATGTTGAGGGACACAGAGACTGTATCAATTTTCAATGCCCCACAGTACCTATGTCAGGACCTGCCTTGCATGTTGAAGTGATTCAAAGCATTGTACAAAACTTCCTGACAGCACTTGTTAATTGAGTGGCTTGAGATGGTTCTGGCCCGAAACATTCAGCACTTATGCAACCTATTCTTAAACTGAGAGTCAACACTTCCAAGGCTTAGTAAGTTGGTAGAAATTTTTTTTCCAAAATGCTTCTGTAGAAAAGTTAAATGACATAGAAATAGCACCCTAAGTAACCTTATGCTAACGACCTGCTAATATAGATTCCGTAAATACTTAATGTAGAACACATAACAGCATATAGAGCTGAGCTACTTCATCTGGATTTGAATCAAGTTCTCATCAAGTTCTTTTCACATATCACATTTACCTTGGGGATTTCAACTGGCACTGGGCTAACCAATCAAAGGTACATTATACCAAAGGAAAGTGCATAGGATAATTTTTGCTACTTTTTACACAACATGCTGCAAGCAAGTAACTATGAGGGAATTTTATTTTCACCTATCAGTGGAATACATATACCTATTCCTTCTAAAAGCATTTGCTGTTTTTCACAGTTCCTGAGAAAAATGCTGCTGCGGGAGGATTCTAGTTAATCCTCAACACTCCCTCACCTAGATCAATAGGAATTTTTTAAAGGCATACAAAAAAATAGTTGGTGAGAAGAAGTGTAGCAGAAATAGTGTATGTGCAGGTGTAAGTTTACACATGCTTTGTGCCCAACAACCTAAATGTGGTATGAAAGCCATCTGTTTTAACATACTGTACCTGTTTGCCATATTTCTCTTCCTGTGAATGTCTAATACTTGTAAGCTAACACAAACCTGTCACAGTCCGCTGACCCTCAGTCAGGCTATTCCACCAGCTGTTAACCTGAAACAGAATTGTTGTACATCAATGCCACTGGGAAGTATCTGCAATTTCAAAAACAGTCAATAAGGTTATGTACCTTTTTTAAGAACAGAAAGCATTTGTTTGAAGTCTGTGAAGTAAATCAGTTTCAAACTTTTTTACTTCTGATTGCTTTGGCTTTTCAAGTTGACATTTCCTTACTCAAGAAAAGTTATCTACCCTCTTCTTCATAAAATGCCCCAATATGGATGAAGAGTTTCTTTAAAAAGAATGGACTTATATCCTTTGACACAACTTCATAAGTTTACCCTGCTTGTATTAAACAAGGATCTAGCCCATAATGCTTACTTTAGCAGATTAGCCAAAGTTAGCATAAATCCTGCCTCCACTAAGCCTCACCCTAATGCTGTCTAACATCACACCACCCACCTTTGAGAGATTCCACTTTTGTGCCAGGATCACTTTTGCAGAGGTGGCTCACAAGATGTGGAATCCATTCCCCCTTGCGTCCAGCTCACCCAGCCCTCCTCCAAGTTTAAAACCCCTGAAAAAGTTTATTTTGAGTGCAGTCAGCCCACAGATAAATTGCACCCCCCTTTCCACTCCTCAGCTTTCAGAATCATTTTGCACAAATATTTTGTTGATAGCTCAACGACCTTCCAACCATATTGATAGTTGTCATTAACATTATCTGCAGGTTGGAGGCAGGGGAAATAATGCTGCAAGAAACAAAGCATTCACTATTTGATTTCAAAGTAACAACTTCACTGCATTTCTTTTTAATTCTCTGGCACAGGATACAGATATCAGTTCTCCAGTATAAGAACACTAAACAAACATGACTTTTCTAAAATATAAGAATTAGATGCCCTCAGAAGCAACTGGGAGAATCCTGAACTCTTAAAAATAAAACTTACCCGTTGAAGATGGGGATTGGCAGTTTAAGCCTATTAACAACAGGGCAGTTTTGTTTTCTTTTTTGGATAGCTAATCACCAGATCTTCCCCTTCAGGTTTTGAAGGAAAATAAAAGTATAAAACCAAAGTTATTTAAAATACTAAGTGCTGATCATAATCTCACTTGCAGTTCATATACACCAAGCAAGAAAGCATGGTGAATTTTCTTTCTAGCAGCTTATACATGGTGCTGTGGTTTAGATTTTTGACCAAAACAGTACTGATACTACACTGATGTTTTAGGTTTTGCTGAATGGTATTTGCACAACATGAAGACCTTTTCCATTTCTCACTCTGCCTGTGCAGTGACAGAACAGGGGACAGTGATAGGCTGGGAGGGGATACAATTGAGCAGATGAGCTGAACTAACCCACTGATATCTAAAAAGATATTCCCTACCACATAATGTAATCCCCCAAAAGAGGGGATTTAAGGACATTTAACATATTTTGCTCATCAACTGGCTGGGCACTGGTCTTTCCACAGGACACTGTGACTAACCGCCTTCACATCACTTGTTTTCTTCTCTTGTCTTCCAGTTACTAATCAATTTTTTGGTGGTTGTTTTATCTTTATCCCTTAGTTTTCTTGCTATTCTTCCTCCTTTCCTCTTTCCTCAATCCACTGTGGGTTTGTGAGGGACATGAGTGAGCAGCCACGTGGTGCTCAGCCGCCCACCAGGGTTATCCCACATGCCCATTTCCAAAGCTGTACCAGTGTGCACAATATACATTATAAACACAGCTCCTGTGTCCTGTCCAGGACCCTGAGCTTCTCCAGCTCCACACTCAGCCCTACTTCCCTTGGACAACCAGACCTTACAGAGTATCAAGCCTGGTCTATCACAACTCATAGCAGTAACATTGAAGCAAACATAAAGCATACATGCATGTTTAGTTTAGTTTTAAGTATACTTAATTAAAAACTAATTGATTGATACTTTTGGGATACCAACTAAATTTGTAACAAATCTCACAGCACTAATTTTGTTCTTGCTGTCCAAACTCCAAGGCATGCAAATGTCAGTTCTCAAAGTAAAAAAGCCCTCTAAACACTCATATTTGTCAGATTTTGGAGGCTGAAAATACAAATGCATTTCAGAAGCCAGAGCGTTGAAAAATCTTATGCTTAAGGTTCAGAATTTAAGCTAGCTCTGTCCTTTTTGAGAGTTCATGTTCACTTCTGAGAACACTTAGACATAACAGGAATGTTTGTTTTGGGTTTTTTTATGGTGAAAAAACAAGTGGTACCTAGTTTAGATATACAAACTCCTTTCGGCATTTCTGGGTGAAGGCAGTATTTTTCTCTATTTTTCACTATACCTTTCACAGTGATATCGTAAGTCACGGTTTTCTGGAACTAATTCTATCAGTTTTTCTTGTAAGGAAACGCATCTGCTGTAATTTGCTGAGAATCAGTTACAAATCAGAATAATGAGGACAAGTATCTGTTGCACAAACAGTGCTCACACCGGAGGAGGGATGCAGCTGTGCCTGACACTCCTGCAGGAATCCACCCACGTGGGAGCAGCCTGGGCCTGGCGCTGTGTACCTGCTTTCTGAAGTCACCTCTCTTCTGCGGCCGCATTTTATCCATCCAGTCCGCTCGAGCTTCCTCGAAGTAGGTCTGGACCCGCGACTTGAGCGACTCATACTGCCAGATGGCAGCGGACCCGAACGCCGAGCCTGTAAACTGGGCGACACCAGACAAAGGCTCAACAACCGCTCCATCCTGGGGCTCCAGCCGGGCTCATCCCAGGCTAACACCATGCACTGTGCCGGCTGCTCAGCCCCACGGCAATGGGAGCTGAGCATCGCTGATGGACAGGGATAATAGAAACTGGATAATGGAAAAGACCTTTAAGATCATAAGTCCAACCATCAAGCCAGCACCACCAACACCATGTTTACCACTAAACCATATCCTCAAGTGCCATATCCACGTTTTTTGAAAACTTGCAGGAATGGTGACTTAACTGCTGCCCAGGGCAGCATGTTCCAAAGCTTTACAACCCTTTCTGTGAAAAATTTTCTTACTATCTAATCTAAGCCTCCCCTGGTGCAACCTGAGGCCATTTCCTCAGGTTTACCGAATGCTAAGTGTCACGAGATAATACTTTATCAAAGAGGTTCGCAAACAAAATGCGTAAATTAAATTATTTAAGTTCGCTGAAATGGAGTGAAACTGGGATATCTTTACAACATTTCCATTGATTTAGCTGAAGTTCCTTCGTATTATCTCAGTGTAACGGCACAGTATTTGGCCAACAACCTTGCACTAACTTTGAGGTACTGAGAAACGAAATCCAAGAAAGCAGAATTCCACTGACAAAGACGGAACACGCTCCGTGCCGACCCCGCTCCCCGCAGGAGCCACTTACCCCGACAGCGAAGAGGAGCGGCTTGACCAGGCGGCGCGGCGAGGGGCGGCCGGCGGCGGCGGTGGGCGACGGCGGGCAGAGGCTGCGGCGCGGGGGCGCCGGGGCGGGCGGCGCCTCGGTCGCGGTCGCCGGGGGCTCCTCGGGCCGCGGCCGCGCCCGGCGGAAACCACGCCGCGGCTGCAGCAGCAGCACAGCGAGCCTGCGGGGGAAACACGCGGACCGTCAGCACCGCCCGCCCCAGCTGCTCCTTCCCTTGCCTTGCCTTGCCTTGCCTTGCCTCGCCATGCCTCCCTCCCTCCGCGTCCCGGCCGTACCTGTGCGGCCGCGGGGCCCCGGCGCGGGCCCAGCACCGCCACGCCATGTTGGCGCCTCCCCGAGCACTTCCGGGGCGGCCGGGCGACATCTTCCCATGGACGGCGGGGGAGCCGCTCGGTCACCGCATCGCGCCAGGCGGCCGCGGCTCCCGGGGCCGCTCCGCGCGGGGGTCGGGGGTGGGTGGGTCGGGGGGTCGGTCGGGCAGCGCCGCGGGATCGAGGCAGCGCGTCCCGCCCCGGCCGCCATGTCGGGTGGGTGGCCCCGGCTCTGCCGCCATGATGAGCGTGGCAGCGCCTTCACCTACCGGGCCCCCCTGGCGAGAAACGCTGGCGCTGTGTAACCAGGGGCTCCATGATTTCGCAGAATCACAGAATATCCTGAGTTGGAAGGGACCCGCAAGGACCACCGAGTCCAACTCCTGGGCCTGCACAGAACCATCCCCACGAGTCACACCATGTGCCTCAGAGTATCATCCAGATGCTCCTTGAGCTCTGTCAGCCTTGGTGCTGTGCCAACTGCCCTGGGGAGCCTGTTCAGTGCCCAACCACCCTCTGGGAGAAAAACCTTTTTCTAATATCCAACCTCAGCCTGCTCTGAGACAACTTCAGGCCATTCCCTCGGGTTCTGTGACAGAGAGGAGATCAGTGCCTGCCCCTCCTCTTCCCCTCACGAGGAAGTTGTAACTGCAGTGAGGTCTCCCTTCAGTCTCCTCCGGGCTGAACTGACCAAGTGCACTCAGCTGCTCCTCATATGGCTTCCCCTCAAAACTCTTCACCATTTTCATTGCCCTTCTTTGGACACTCTCTAATAGCTTAATATCTTTTTTGTATTGTGGCACGCGAAACTGCACCCAATATCCAAGGTGAGGCCACGCCAGTGCAGAGCAGAGCCTCCCTCAACCAGCTGGCGATGCTGAGCCTGATGCCCCCCAGGACATGGTTAGCCCTCCTGGCTGCCAGGGCACTGCTGACTCATGTCCAACTTGCCATCAACGAGGACTCCCAGGTCCCTTTCCTGGCACTGCTTTCCAGCATCTCATTCCCCAGTCTGTCTTCAGGCACCCAGATTGTCCCATCCCGGGTGCAGAATTTGACACTTTCCCTTGTTTAACTTCATACGGTTGATGATTGCCCAGCTCTGTAATTTATCAAGGTCTCTCTGCAGGGCTGAGTTAATGTATACTGTTCTCTAGAAGCCTTATGGAATAGGCAGACCCTGCCTCCTCCTAGCCTGGGGCTCTGCCTGCAGCAGCCCAGGAGGTAGGGAGGAGGCTGGGGCTGCTGCCTCGGCCCTGCCTTGCTCTGTATGTGGTTCCACACGATCTCACCACACCTCACCACCTTCCCTCACCTGGCTCCTCCACCCTGCCTTACCTTGCCTCCCCACTGGGCTGCTCCAGCAAAGGGTTGCGTGAGGCTGATCAGGTGCAAGACAGCTGCTCCCACCCCACAGCCTTCTCCCAGGCTCTTCCCTGTATCTGTATCAACAATAATGTACCCAGCAGTACTAGAGAAGTGATCATCCCCCTGTGCTCAGCATTGGCGAGCCTGTACCTCAAGTACTACGTTCAGGTTTTGGCCCATCACTTTAAAGAGGAGTTTGAGGTGTTGGAGTGGGTCCACCAAAGGGCAACAAGGCTCGTGAAAGATCTAGAAAACTTGTATTATGAGGAACGGCTTAAGGGAGCTGGGTTGGTTTAGTCTTGAGAAGAGGGGGTGCAGGTGTGACCTCATTGCTCTCTACGACCACCTGAGAGGAGGTTGCAGTGCGACAGGACCCATCTTTTCTGCCGCACCTGCAGTGAAGAGGACAAAAACTGAGACAGAGGAGATTCAGATTAGATACTAGAAAAAAATTTTTCCCCATTGGGGTGGTCGGGCACTGGAATTGGTTTCCCAGGGAGGTGGTGGAGTCACCCCTGGAGGTGCTCAAGAGGAGTCTGCATCTGGCACTGGGCGATGTGGTTTAGTGGTTTATGGGTTACAGTGGTAGCACTGGGTGGACAGTTGGACTGGAGGATCTTAAAGGTCTCTTCCAACCTTGATGATTCTATAATCCTGTGATTCCCCATGCATGCTTGAGCAGGTGCCCCAGGTGCCTTGTGGTTCCCTTGCTGCTGGCTGGGGCTCCTGCTCTCTGGCACTCTGCTGCTGTTCCTGGCACCATCTCCATGCCTGCTGAGCTCCACAGGGCTGGAAAGGTGTGTTGGCAGGGAGCAGTCTCCTGTCCACACCGACACCCTCCTGAAATTAAATGAGAAAAGAGAACAGGTTTCTGCTTTGCAAATAACTTGTAGGTTTCCAGAAGCTATGTGTGCCTTCCTGGTTATCTGTGTTGCCATAGAGATACCCATGGGACAACCAAGCGCTGTACACGCCAGTCACGCCTGGGCCACCAGAGACCAGAGGGCAGAGCCTCCAAAATCAAGCAGCTGAATAAACAGTGGTTTATCTCAAGCTTGTATGGAGAGGGCGAGAGGCAGCAGTCACGTATTGCAGCAGGAAAAGTTCCCCGTGGGTGTGAGGAACATGCTCCACGGGAGAGCAGCTGTGCAGTTTCCAGCCCCGGAGGCCCCTCCATTGGCTGGAAAAGCTTGGGTGACCTGATCCAACACTGAGGCTGTGCTTTAGCAGAAGATTGGCATCAGCATGGCCCCTTCCAGCCCAAGTTATTCTATAGTTCATTGTGTGAAGGGAAAGTTAATAGCGATGTGAAAGTGATCTGCATCTTGTAATTGCAAGTGGTTATGAGCCTGATTAGGTTCTTAAAAAGTTATGACAACTTCAGGAGCAAAGTCATGAAGTCAAATTCTTTTTAAGTGGGGAGGAAACGAATTAACATTGCTCCGCCTTTTTTTTCTTTTCCTATGTAGTAGTGAAAGAGTTTGCCTTCTCAACTTAAGGTCAGACTCTGACCAGAGAAAACCTTTGTGAGCTGTGGTGGGAAACTGCTCTAAGTGGTTTAGTACTGTATTCAGTTCTGCATTTTATCTCTTTCTGATTATGCTGGTGGCCATGGGTCAGCCTCAGAATTTGCTTGAACTAAGGAGTGATCAGCAGGTTCAAAGCTATATAGTGCTGGTGTTAGAAATGTATATATACATATGCAAATGAAATCAGTGTTGTAACCATTGTTTTTCTCTGTTTTTGATGTAAAAAAATGAAAAAGAAGTAAAAGAATTTTTTAACTTTTCAGTTTCAACACTTCTACCACTCATTTTTGCTTCCAAAAATGACCACCTTATCAGAAGTAAATTGTTTGTTTAAGTGACTTAGATATTTTTCTTTGTTAACCCTTCCTGCCTGATGTTCAGACCACATGCATTTTCACTGTTTTTAATGTTAAGATGATGTTTTTGCTCCCCCAGGGCTTATTTTTATCACATTACGGCTCTTAGTTATATATAGCCTATATGTGCACTTTGTGAGGGATGATGCTCTGGACTTTGTGTATTTATTTGGTTTTGGTTTATAGTCATTCTCCTTTGGACAGTTGCAAAGCATATTTGCTATCAGTGGTGCCATCACCTCGCACCTATAAACATGACAGCGCATGACAGCTGGTACAATCAAGTCCTGAAGGGTTGGGTGTCCGTAGTACAGGTTGAAAGAGGATGGATGTGGTGTCAGAATAAATTGTTAGCTGGATAGTCCTATGGGGTTTGTGTGGTAGCAGCAGGGTCAGGAAGGGGTGAGTGAGAGTGGCATCTTGGGGCAGAGGAAGGCAAAGAGAGGAGGAAGAACAGCAGCAAAGTGGTTGCAGAGCTGTCCCAGGCAGCCAGACCTCCTTTGGCCGGGAGGTCTGTCCTGTCAGGGTGCATGGCTGCAACCACAAACAGTTTCATTTGTTAATGTGAACCAGTGGAAAGGTAGCTGTCTGCATATTTCTTCATGGTGTGGGCTGCAACCTAAAACAAATGCAGAAAAAATTTCAAGTGAAACAACTACTGTGAAAGTTGTGGTAATATATTTCTGTAGTGCTTTGTGGTCTGATGGTGTGTGGCACTGACAAAGCAAATTATATGCCAGTGGGTGCCAGGTTAATCTGAGCATCTTTGGTACTAACTTAGGTGATTTTGCTCTAATTTTCCCTTTTGCTGACACTTCGCTGTAGCGAAAAGCCATGCCAGAGCTTTGTGCAAGTCAGGCAGAGCTTTGGCCCTGGGTCCTTGATTTTTAGAATGGGAGCAAAGGTCCTAAAGAGTATGAAACTTCCAGTTGGTTGATCAAATTGGTCCTCACAAAGTGCTGACACCAGTGCCTCATAGGAAGGTAGATGAAACGGGCAGACCATAGATGTGAGTATCAAAATTTATCTTGCTTTAAATTTGTATCGATTGGTATTGTAATTGGGAGATGCATAATTGCAGTTGATTGTCCTAATTTTAAAAGAATTTTGAGTTAGCAAACAAGTAAAGAACGGATGAAACATTGCAAATTTAAAGTAGAGAATTCCTCAGTCAGATCCTCTGGTTTTGCTCTGTTGGTACTTTTTTGTGGTAAACATGTGCAGTAATAAATGTTTTCCAAAAAAATATACTCAATGTCATAGAATATTTAAGTATTCCAATTATTTGATGAGATTTAGATTCCACTTCTACAGTTCCCTGTAGGTAACTCCTTATGTAAAGGTAACTCCATTTACTCTGTGGGTATAAACTGTTTCAACAGGTTTCTAATATCAGGAATCTTGGGAGGTTTCTTTGAAGACATCTTCTGCTGGAAGAATGGCATCATCTTCTCTACAGATCTGTGCATTGCTGCTGGCTTTAGCAGGATTCACCACTTTACTTGTTACTACCATGTCCAACAGATGGAAAGTTTTGGACACTGCGACAGAGCTGGTCACTGCAGACTGGGTTTCTGAAGGTCTTTGGATGGACTGTGCAGCAACTGCTCTTGGATCAGTAGAGTGCAAGAAATTTCTGTACATGTTGAGTTCAGACAGTAAGTGTGCATGGCATATGTTTATAAAATCCAGGGATGTAGTTCTGTTCCTTGTTTCTGGACAGCATGTTAGCGCAGTGGGGTGGCACATAGTGCAGTTGTCACAGAAGGTCTGGTGTGGACAAATCCTGCAGTGGCTGCAGACAGGTTAAAGGGCCCCCGTGAAACCTGTATCCTTCAGCCTGCAATTCAGCTCAGTCACTGCTGTGGCTTTGTTGCCATCTCTGTTGTGTTGACAGAGAGATATAAGGGATATACAACAAATCTAAGATTTTTTTTTTAAATTGTTTTGGAAGAAATAGTGTTCTTTCACTCAGCCTAATGCTTAAATACAAGCAGATCATAGTTCAGTGAGCACCGGTGTTTGTTTATGCTTTGGTGTGAGACAAATAGATAATCCAGAACTTGTTGGATACTTGGTGCTAAACCTGTGTATTTGTTCCGGAATTTCCCAGAGGCTGGCTTAGATTAAAATACATCTGTGCCACTGGTGTTTTTGTGTTTTCTAGGGTAGACCATACTAGCAGGGTAGCTTGTTTCTAACTAGAAAGAGAAGAAATGTCTCTGTAGGGACTGAAAAGTATTTGTTTGAATTGTTCTAAATTCTAAAGACATCTTTCTGTAAACACCATTTTTATGGTAAAGGACTGTGAGGAACCAACACTGAAGATCTTTCCTCAAAAAAGTGACTGTAGAAATACTAACAGTGCAGCCTTAGAAAACTGGTATTTTGTTAAGCTTTCTCTTTTAAACAGAACCTTCTGTTTATTCCTTTACAACTTTCAGTTTTGTGCAGTCACTTTATGCGTGATGTTAATGGAATAATTTCTTCCAGTCTTCCCTGCTTTATTGTCATATTCCCTGATTATTGTCATTACTGTTTGTCTGGACTCTTTCCAGCTGATTTATTCTTGATGCGCAGTGGTCAAAACTTCAAAATACCATGTCTCACAGACTATGAGCCTTGTTTTTCTTGACACAGATATGGACTTTCCTGGAGTCAGAGCTGCCTGAGACAGATCTCTAAAGTTTGAGAGTTTAACTCTCAAGAGTGAACTCTCAAGATTCAGCACATTTGTGGCTCTTCCACAGGATCCTGGCTTTGATGGCCTTTTGCCTTCTTATCAATGGTGCCACTTTAAGAATAAGTATCAACATCCTGTAATGAGGCCAGGATCTGTGACCTCAAAAGAAGGCTAATCATATGCTTCTAAGGATTTTAAAAACACTACTCATTGCATCAGAGGCAATGTCAGCATTTCGTACAATTCTGGTATCCATTCTGCTCCTCTCTAGGGCTTCCTCTATGTAAATAGCAGGATGCCTAAGTTTCATTTAGAAACTTAAGTATGATTTATGGAAATTAGAGTGATGAGATGGGGCCAACAATCCTTCAGTTCTCGTAGTGAGATGGCATGGATGCTTATGATGGTGTGGCAGCTCTGCCTTGACTTGTGTAACAGGGAGAAGCAGATGTTACAGCCCTGTTATGGAGACAAGTGGAGTCAATGTAGGGATGCAGGACAGCCTCCTTTTTTTTTTTTTTAAGTGAAGTTTCACTACACCCAACACGGAAAGAAAATATTCCCCAGGAAGAGAAGAGTTCCTGGTGAACTGCAGCAGTCACCTCCTAGGAATTCTCTTCCCTCCCTTCCAGTGGCTGCCATAATTGGAAGACTGGACCCCTGCTTGGCAGGGCTCAGTGGATCATCTTCAACTATTCAAAGAACTGCATGTCCCCTAAAATCAGCACAGGTTCCTCATGCCAAGGCACATCATGTGGTGCTTGCGGAGTAATTGTCATCTGTTGCAGGGCTGTTTCTCTGCTTGCTGTGCTCAGTCAGCATTCCTGGGTCTTGAAAGTGAGGTGCAGCTCATGTTGATCAAGCACTCAGGTTTTTCATATTGTCAGTATTTTTTCCCCAGTTGTATTGGGTGATCTGATTTAAAAAACTACTATTTTTGCCTGTAAGCTCTCTCCCAACCATATTACACACAAATGTGCTCTGTTGGGATAACACTAGAGAGATTAGGAGCAATTTCTCTCCTCGGTCATATGTTGCTATGATCGTATATGGTCATACCTTGGCATGTCTATGTAAGCATTTTACTTAGGAGTGCACTTTTGTAATGAATTTTCCATTTACTGGACCTGGTCTGGTTTGTGGTCTTGGAACATGCAAATTGGTTTCCTTGTGGATGAGGCAAAGCAGGGGAATGTGCTCCAGGAGCGCAGTTCCAGAATTCAGCCATTGACAGCATTCAGTTCACCTGACCGGGTTAGAGCGAGCCCGAAGGCAAACTCCCAAGCTGTGGAAGGTGTGGATGTGAAGCTGTCAGCACCAACTCTTGTTTGCTGCTGATCCAGAGCCTCCTGCAGAGCTGTTCTGCCCATTGCTCACCAAAGCACAGTTTATGAAATTTAGCGAAGAATTGCCCTATGTTCTTTAACACATTGAAGGGTGACTTCCTGAAGGGAATGATTAAAATTCCTGGTGCCCTATAGGAAAAGCTCATGCATTATAATATGCAGTATAATCTTTTCTGTTTATATGTGTGCTTTATGACTGCTTATTGAAATAGATTCTTAATTAGGAAGAGATTTTTTTTAACACTATATTCTTCAATTTTTTATTTTTATCATTGGCAGCAGTATAACATCTGGTGACACTTGATTCAAGATCCCAACTAATCTCAGCTTTGAAAGCACTGTCAGCAGAAGTGATCACTGAGGTCATCAGCATAGTCACCAGTGTATGGATAAATTAATTTGAAACTCTTGAAGGGCTTTTAATGGGATGAATATACTCCAGGGTACTGGTACAGTGTGTTCATTTTACTATGCCATCATTTTTCAAATTGCAGTGACTTAGCAGAAGAAGAGAATTTTGTAACAGTCACCCAAGAAGACAAATTCTTACCACACACTATCTGGTTTCCTTAAAAGATTGCAAGTTCAGACCTGCACAGGATCACAGGATTTGTGCTGCCAGATATAGTCTTGTTTAAATCAGTGGCAATGATCCTCTAGGCTGCCAAGGGAGCAAAAAAGTCACAGTGGCACCGTAATATCCTTTTGCAGCTGAACCTACCAACCTATGGCATCAGTTCAAAGTAGACAGTGAATTTTGAAAAAAAACCCAAATACCTGTTATGGGCAAGTTGTGACTCTCTCAAAGGCTAATCTTTCTGGTAGTGCTTATGTAAATGCTGTGAATCTGTTACCATGTTGCATCATAGCAGAATTATTTTATGAAGAAACTCTGACTCCATTTCCTGGAGATAAGAGCAGGTTATCACTGCAAGAGATGGTTAACCTTGTTTGGATACCTTAAAGTATTAACATTAGTGGTGATGTGAATTGTGTCTATGATTCTGTCTAGCTGAGAGCAGTAGCAACTAAACCAAGTTTAACATCTTGTTTGCCTAGAATAGCTTTTTTTTTAATACTAAGATATTCTAGCAAGCAGATACAATTGGCTGATATGTATTATTTTTCTTATAGCTGTTTTTCTTTGTCATTTTATTCCTTTTGAGATAGGTCTGTCACACTCGCTCCTTCATTTCCTTATATTTCATTTCCATGACATGTACATTATTACAATGTAACGCATTGTACAATTGTACAGTGTAAATGGCACTATTTTTAAGACTGAATGTGTTTAACTATAGATCAATAGACAGTAAAATATTAATGTAAACCACTTATCCACAAACTTAACCTTCCTGAAGGAAACTGGCAGTACTATTGTTATGGATTACTTATGACCATAACTCAAAAAAATGTGCTAAATTCTCTAGCAACAGAATAAAGCTTCTGTTCTCAAGCTTTTCTATGTTTGAGTCCTCAAGCAAATAACACAGTAAAGTTTTTTGAGATCAATAATAAAATTACAAACAATTTTAATCTAGTGTAAAATCTAGTTGACTTCAGAGAAAATAAAATATTTGCCGCATACTGTCATTCTTATTAGGTATTTTGTAGATATACTGACTGGACTTTCTAGGCTGAGAAAAAGAAGAGGCTCATTTTTCACTTCCTATTAGAAAAAGAATTAATATTGTCATTTTTTTTACACGCTAATATCTTTATTATGAACTGCTCCCACTTCTTATTGTCATGCCCAGCAAGCCTTATCTCTGGGGTTGAGCAAAGAGCAAAGGTAGACTCATTTTGGAGTGAAACGCAGAGATAAAACAGCAAGGAGGCTTCTGAAAGGCCTCACTTGATTGTAATCTAATTATAAGGATACTTAACTGTTACTACTCACAAGCATGACTGCTGCCTTGGAAATTGTTGGTCTTCTCTTGTGCTTGGGTGGGTTGGCAGTTATTGGAGCTACTTTGCCAAATAATTACTGGAAAGTCTCCAGTATACATGGTAGTGTGATCACAACGTCTACGTTCTATGAAAACCTGTGGAAGAGCTGTGTAGAAGACAGCACTGGAGTATCCAACTGCAAGGAATTTGACTCTTTGCTTAAACTGCCTGGTATGTGACTTTGCGCAGCCTTGTTCATATTGCTTAAAAGTTTATTGGCAAAAAGGAGTGTGGCTTTTGTTTTGGTGATCTGGTAGTGCTTGAAAATAACTGACCAAGAAGGACTTTGTGGGTTGAAGTAATAAAAATCTCTTAAGCAGCAGAATGTGTCAGGCATTTTAGGAGAGGCTATAAAATATGGCAAATGAAGTCGGTTGATCAAGCGTTTATTTTAATAGGCATTTTAAGTATGGTGTAATCTCTTCTCTAGCATCTTGTGGGAGGAATTAGTGGGAGACATTTTTTAATTGTTTATTTATTTTGAATTATTGTATAGGCCTTCTTTTGAAATACTTCATAGCTAATGTACTGCAGCTGGAGTTTTTTCATATAGCAGGAAATACTATTTACAGCTGAGAAGTGGTAATGGTTTTTGTGTATTGAGACTGAAAATTGTAGGCAATCCAAGAAATACAGTAAGTATATGTTATACATATTATAACGTTATAAGTTATACAAGGAGTATATGTTATAAATTAATATACCTGTCAGGGCTTGTTAACTAATGTCTTTTTGGATGTGGTTCTAAATATCAAGAAATTTAAATCTGCTGGTTCCTGTCCTCTGTATCAGTCTTCAGCAGAATTGTGGATTGTCCTCAAATGTCCCACTAAGGCAATATTCTGTGGATAGTAAGCATGTTTATAGATAGTGAAGCTATTTTTTATTAATCTTGAATAATTCAGTATGTAGATACTTATCCAGAATAAAAATGCCTTCTTTCTAGTTGAATATACCCTGGGAGGTGGTTAAACTAAATAGGTAGGAGGATACTCCTAATCTGAAGAATGTGTACTATAGGATTAGTGGGAATGAGGTATTAAATTCACTTTCTCTCTCAGTCTGAAATAAAGGGATGTTGTTGACCAGCTCTGACACTAGCATAGCAATTCTCTGGAGCTGTCTGTGTACAGTATTTAGGCAATAATCTATTATTTTCATTTTTCAGTCTTATCTAACAATTGCTTTTACAGTACATGTGTGTATTAAGAGGCACATAACCCTTTTTAAACTTCTTAGAGTAAGTAATAGCAGGATCATATCCATGGGACATTATCCTCTGCAGAGCGTTTATGTCAGTGTGCACTGGCGGTGCTGGGTGAACAGCTGGGCTCCAGGATCCCAGAGGTCTTTGCCAACCTTAATGATTCTGGGATTTTATTTGGTTCTTGTAAAAAACAGTTCAAGGGCTGGTTTGCCACTGACTGCAGGTGGCATCTTGTCATTGATGGATTTACATGAGGTGCTGCCTCTGAGAGGGTGTGCAGATGTGGGCAGTGGGGCTGCAGGGCAGCATCATGGAGCTGCCCAGGAAAAAGTGGCTTTCAAAGAAACTGGTGGGGGTCAGAAAAGAGCATCACGATGTGCTAAAGCCGAAGAGAACAAAAGGCAAGCAACAGGAGGGCTCCTAAACTGCAGATAACAACATGGAGTCAGCAGGAAGGAAAAAATAAATGGGGCCAGACAGAACGTAAATGACTGGGCCAGGCCCTGAAGTGAATTTGATCTATTGAAAAGGAGATCGGTTCTGTGGTTGAGAAGACAGCAGTGTATTTGAGGGACATAGGCAGGGGAAAGGGAAAAACAACTTGCAAAATTGTAGAGAAAAAACATTTTTAGAAAGGAAAACTGAAAACAAGAAGTTAGAAGACACTGAATTGTGATAAAAGTGGAAAAGGACAGCTGGGCAAAGCAGGAAAGAGGAAGAAAATGGGCTTGGTAATAATGAGGACCGAGCAAACAGTGGGACTTCTAAGAAATGTCTATAGTACTGGCAGATGTGGGCAAAGGCAGACTAAAAATTATCACTATCAGTTTAGGCGTGGTTCAACTTGCTGTTTAAAACTTAGCCGAAACTGTTGCTAAGATGTCAGGGATTGGTGGGAGGGGAAGAGAAAAAACAAAAGTGTCTTTGTTACCTCTCATCAAAAGGATCATAAAGATTTTCCACGGAGGTTTCCTTATTGGCAACTGAGCTATGTGGAATACTTCTGGTTTTTCGTTTATATGTGGAAAATATGAGACTTGGTTCTTTTAGACAGATTTAACACTTTTGAGTTCAGTAAGCCATTAGTCTAAATCACAAACATTTGAAGTGAGGATCTTTTTAAAAGCAATATTGTACAAGATTGAAACCATGACCGGCTACTCTGTATAGCTAGCACTATCTATCTAGTCACAACTAAGTCAAACATTTGATAGGTCTGTTTGCCAAATGCTTTTTATACTCTTTTTTTTTCTTTCTTTCTTTCTTCTTTTTCATGTTTCATAATTGTTTCTTCCAATGATAGGTTTTGGGCATAATCTCTTACAATCAGTATTGACTAATAAAATGAACTGTCTTTGTATCTTGTTGAATAAGCTAATTTTAAAAATAAACACAACAACAAATTGAGCTTTCTTAACTGTGAAGCAAGGCCCTCAGTTAAGGCTGTTGAGGTTATTGTATTGTAGTACAATGGTATGAAATTTCTACTGTTAAAATAATACAGCCATTGGCTTGCAAGCAGTTAGCCTGAGGATATGCTTGTGTGTCCTGGAAAGATGGGGAGTCCCATCTAACACTGCAGGACCTGAAATGTAAGTTGTTGGACCCTGCTATGGGTGATTCCTGGTGCTGTGGTGTAAGACCCCAAACTAGAAAGCAGCATTGTTGAGTGCTTGTCCTAACAGTACCTTCTGCAGGCAAAAACCTTGAGGCATTAATGGTACTTTGAGAGGTATTTTCACTTTTTTTACTCTCTGTATTTTTTTCCATAAAATTTTTAAAATTAGTGCTTAATGAAGCATTAATTTTCTCAAGTGATTTTATCCTTCAATATCCTTTAATTTATCTCATGACTGCTTATTACTATTTTTGATAACTCTCAAGCTTGCAGGATCAATACTCTTAAACCACATTAGGCAATACAGCCCACTGAGTCAGTGTGTGAATATCACTTTGCCTCCTGTTTCTCTCTTTGATTTTTGTTGTCTGGAGAGTTACGGGCTCACTCTGCTACAGACCTGGCCAGCAGGTTATCATGGAAGACTGGGGAGGTGATCAGGGAGCAAGAACTTGAATGTTGGCATCAACAAAGCCAGTGTCCAGTTGCAGTCCAGTTCTGACCCTTCTGATGTGTGGTTAGAATTTTAGAGTCATAGAATCATTTAGGTTGGAAAAGAACTTTAAGATCATCAAGTCCAACAAAGTTAGCAGTTGTGACCTGCCAGATTGGTGACACTTGGCATGTTTATCTCACAACAAAGGTGCCGAAATGCCACTTGAGCTGGAACCTGCCAAGTGCACAATGCCATTTTAGAGGAGACCGAAGTCCCTGTTTGATCTTTCTTCTTAGGCTGATTAATAATCTTGTCTAGGTTTTTGTGCAATTGATACCTAAATGTCAAGACTGTGACCTTAAGCAATACAGACTTGTCAGCATACCAAATTCCCTAACGTGCCCACGGGAGCTGTAAGCTCTCCACAGGAGTATGTCTTAGGGAGGAGAGGAGTGCTACAGCTCTTGGACCCACTTGCCTGCTGTTTGTTACACCGACTCAGAGTTTGAAGTGAACTGCTAACTCGAGCACATTCTTTCCTATCTCTCCCTGGAAGCAGCAAAACTGGTACATTTTTCCAGTTCCTCTGTAATGCCTGAGCCCCACACACCTTGGCTAGCACCTGCTGTTCAACTCTGAAATCTGATTTACTTGAAGGCTGAACGCGCTCAGGTTTGGAGGCTTCTATGAACCATATGACAAAGTTGGACAAGATTCACTCATTTTATTACTGCACCTGTTGATTTTGTCAATCCTTCTAATCACTTTTACTTTTTCAGCACAAGATTAATGTCGGTTTTGTATACATCCTGATTTGTTTTCTCTTTTTCTGTCTTAGCTCATATTCAGGCATGCCGTGCCTTGATGATTACTTCCATCCTTCTGGGATTCCTAGCTACAGTAGTCTCACTGCTTGGTTTGAAGTGCACAAACATTGGGTTGAGCGATGAGGATGGAAAAATGAAGTTTGCTGTCACAGGAGGATTTCTTTTCATTTTAGGAGGTAATATCAAGGTTGAAATGAGAACGCTATCAGTACTTTGTGTTGCTTTCACAACCAGATTAAATGAAATTAACTTGTTCTTAGTTTAAAGCTGGTACAGCCATTAAAGGAATCACTCACCTGTGTGCTTTTTAAACTTTTTCTGGTAGGTCTCTGCTCCATGGTGGCTGTTTCTTGGTATGCTGCAATCATTACTGCTCAGTTTTTTGACCCACTGTATGCTGGAACCAAGTAAGTTAATGGATCTGTCGTACCAAACTCCATCATGTGTTAGAAACTTGCACTAATCCCAGCTGCTCCAGAGTCTCAGAACCTGGATGGATACCATTATACAGTCTTGCAGGAGGAAAAAAATTGTCTTCGGGGAATCTTTACCTCAGAGATGTTGGTGGGGAGAGAGGAGAGTTGTCTTCTGGAAGAGTTAGTAAACACGTGAGGAATATCAACCCCACATCCATGCGGGTTTTGTACTATGTTTACATTTTCTTTTGTGACTCAATTAAGTGCACATCTCAAGATGAAGAAAAAAATGTAAAAGTCCTAATTTTCTTCAGCATTTAGACCAAAAGAGGTACAAAATTCTAGATATGGCTAGGATAAATTGCCTCACTTATACAAGCATGGGAAAATTGTCCAGAAAGCAGCTTGAGCTGTGTACTGTGACCTGCAGAGAAATGTACTGCTTGTCTATGTATTAATGTCTGCCTTATGAATTTGTTTGCCTTATGAATAAAATGAGGCAAAATTTGGGGGACTATCAGCTAGTACAGTTGCACACAAACAAGTTTCAAGGTATAAAAGCCCTTACTCTTGTCTGATGTAAAAGCAATGGTTGTCAAAACCAAATGGCAGCTTATGGCACTTTATCAAGGTGCCCTTGTAAAGGAACAAGGGTAGAGGTCACCAGACCTCTCCTTCAGAGAAGGGGAAAAGGAGATGGAAACATACTGTGGAACATGAGACCTCTATAATTTGTTAGTACCTCTATCTAGTATATAATTCATAGATCAGTAAACTATAAATCTCTAGTTGCTAGGATCATATTTGAAGTGTTTTGTAATTTTCCACCCGGGAATCAGTTCAGAAAAGTCAGAGGTGAAGTGCTTTGTGATGAATCAAAGTACTTTAAGCAATTGCTTTAGTTGTTTGTCAGTTTTCCCAGTGTTTTCAATGAAGCACTTACAAAGAAATTGCACTTGTGCACTTACTTGTTGTTTTATATCCTCTTCAGAGAACTATATGAAGGGTAATAAATACATTAGGGAACTGAAAAAAAATGTTGATAAGGAATTTCAGTTAGTGGGATAGTTAGTGAGTTTTATAGTTATCTGCTATAGCTTTGGGGCTTCAACATCAATGGCTGTTAATCAGTTACCAGATTGTTTGCATTCAGTAGCTGAAGAAATCTTTTTTTTTAATATCCAAACTTCATGTTTAAGCTATTGATTCTCTGAGCGGTTCTTGGTGAATTAACTTTGGTCATTGGTAAAGCCAGACATGGACTCTGAGAGACAGTTAAATTCAATTGCAGGCCAGTATTGATCTTCACTCTTAAGAGACTGGGAAATCCAGTTTTTCAGATAGCATTTTTTTTGGTCTGACTTCAGCAAACTAGTGAAGTTAACCTCTGCTAATTCTTAGGGGAGTTTCTCATACAGTTGTGAAGGCAACCTAAGTTCTCCTGCAGATCCCTTCTATATACTTTCCTTGGGGATGGCATCTACAGCATTCCTGTCTGTAGTTTACTGGTGAGCAGAGACTGTTTCAGACACTGGGCAATGCTCCCTGGCTGTTCCTGTATTCCTTCAGCAGCTTGCACTGCTGTTTTTTTGAGATAATGACTATCTCCCCACTGTGTGTTTGGAAAGCACCTAAACCAGTGGAGACCTTGCAGCTCCAACGTGTGATGAGAACGCGGAGAGCAGGGAACGTGTGTGAACCTCCGAAGCCCTCCTGTTAGCAACGAATTCTGGAGTCAGAAGCTTCAACACTTTTAAATGATGATTTTGTGTTTACAAGTGGAAAGAAAACACAAATCTCTGGTTGCAGTGTACTTTCAATACAGTTCATAACACTTATTTTTCCCTTATAGTGGGTACCTCAGACTACAGAGGTACAGGTGTATTGTGCCTATAGTCTCAAATACAAAACTTGTTTTCCTCTTTTTGTGAAACTCCTGCCAGACTTTTCCAGACTCAGTTGTGTCTAGTCTTTGGGACAAATTCATTATTAATTAATTTTTTGGACTGGACTGGGGGGTTTCCTGAAAGGTATAGTTTTGCACAGCAAAATGGGGAACTATTCTTTTTCACCCTGGGACACTCATACATGGATTTCAACCATACAACCACAGAGGGTGCTGAATATTCTTTAGGATACCTAAGTTTGAAAACTAGCTCTATACAAACAGCTACTTGTAGGTCACCTAGCATCATGCCCATAGAAAACTGATTCCTATGGTTAGCCTTTTCTCAGGACAGACAGAGTTTTACTGAGCAGACACAAAGCCAGATCTGTTCTCTGCTGATGTACCTTTCAGTTGGCTGATTTCTATGCGGACTAGAATTTGTTTCTTTGCATGATTTGTGAACCTTATGGCTCAGCCTAAAATAATGGCTTTGTGATCCTGTTATAAGCTGTTTCCATAAAATCTTTCATGTTTCAGGTATGAACTGGGAGAAGCTCTATACTTAGGCTGGACCGGTTCTATTCTTTATATCCTTGGTGGGATCTTACTGACCTGTTCATGCAAAGGGAAGGAAAAACAGAATTACAGGTAATCTTGGGTTTGTCAGTTGAAACAGTAGCTGTAAATTACATATCCCTTTCTACCTGTGCACTTTTCTCCCTCTCTCTCTCTCACCCTCTTGTATAAATATGTAGCCATATACAGTACAGCAGTACTATGGGCTGTCACAGACTTGTGATGGCAGGGGATGCTACACCAAACACTTGCACAGTGTACTTGTTGATACTTCACCATCAGTAGTCCCTATAACTTGTGTTTGGTATTTCTGGGTACTGCTTATATTTCTAAGTTCTATGTGGTGAAAATGTGCAGTGAAAGAGTGAACTGTCTATTGGCAAAAGTATTTCAAAGAATATAGTGTATTTTAATCCAGTTTCTCTACAATAATCACTGTGACTAAAATATTCAAACATTTAATTTGCAGAAAGTGTAATGGCATTTCCTTCCCAAAGCACATCCAACTGATCATTAGAAACATGATTTTTTTTCTTGTTCTTTATGGAAATGTCTTGTTGCACATCAAATCAGAAAAGCTGAGACTTCTGGCCTCAATATTTAATCTTCCCTGGACTTTTTTTCAATCTTAAATTATTGACACAAACAGAAGGTCCCTTTCTGAAGAAGAGGGATGAGATTGCAAAAATAGCAGAGGTTCATGTCTACTCAGAAGAACTCAAATGGCTTGGAGGTTGTACTGGCTAAGCTTGAGAGGCTGATAACATGGAAGGAGGAAGCATGCTCACTGCTGCTATATTTAATCTTTGAAGATTATGTCAAAACACATAGTAAGTGAGTGCTCCTCTGATACTCCACTGCCTAATCTGAAACCATTTCAGTTTTATGGTAATATTTCATCAGCCACATTGGACTTTAGATCTTGTTCACCGTATTTTAATACAAAGTACCGAATGTCCTGAAATGTCCTGAAAATCAGGTAGAACAGACATATGAAATAGAAGTTCAACATGACAAATGACAGCTGAAGGGATTGGCTGAAGATACTTGTTTTTTTCTCATCATCTTGATTCCTGTATTAAAACCTGGAGCTTGCACAAGGGCACTGAGGGCTAGGTTCTCTTCTGCTTTAAGGCCTTGACTGAAATGCCTTGAGGAAGAGCACAGGTGAATTAGGAATCCAGAGTGTGGTTTTGGTTATGAGAGAGATGGCTGTGCTGCCTGTCAGGGAGCCCTTGTCTTTCCACTTAGCTACCAGACCGATGAGAACAATGGACAGCTAGTTTCTGCACCTTTGTGAAGAGTGTGCTATCGATGGGTTTGATATAGACCTAAATGAGTAACTTCCTAAGTATCTAAACTATGAACATGTGTCTAATACTTCTTATTTGTATCTTTTTTTCCCTTACTTTACAGAATCAGCAAATATGGATATTCAGCAGGCCAGGCAGCTCCTCAGCCACACATGTATTCCAGGAACACTGAGACGATCGTAAGCAACAAGGAGTATGTCTAAACTTCCATTTTGCATCGCCTGTAACATTAGTAGGTTATGAACTCAAATAAAGAAGTGAACTACTTCCAGGGTTCCGGTTCCAAGTTGCAATCTTATCCCTTAATTCGGAGCAGTACAGGAGGAGGAGTGCTTTCCAATGTAAATAGGAATGGTTTTCAGATGTAAATAGCTTTCTACAGAAGATGTGAAGTGAAATCCTGCCACAAGAAGGTTTTCTTCGTGCTGACAAGGCTGGTAAAATTTAACCAGAGCGCAGTATGTGCTGACACTTGAGAGCAACAGTTTCCATTTCAGCTGACTCAAACATGTGGAACTGATAGCTGTGTTTGACTGCGAGTTCATGTGCCTCACAGTTAAAAACGTATTGTGTTTTCATTAATGCTTAGCTTCCTACTTTTGTTTAGCAGCTTTAGCTTTTTGACAGGAAATAAACTTTATTCCATGGATTGACTGGAACAGATTTTTTGATGAGTGGTATCTTGGCAATTAATAAGGATCTGATGTATTACTGCAATTCTTATTATGTATGATAGTCAAGGTTTATAAAAGCCACAATAAATTCTCCAGCAACCACTCACCTTCAAATCTGCAGATGTGCAACAAATTTCATGGTTGTAATGCAGATACCAAAAATAAATGATATGGAATGAACCGAACACAGCTGGGAGTGGAGAAAGCATCTGGTGTGAAAACGCCTCGTGGTAACTAAGAAAACAACAGCCTGAATTTTTTATTTTTATTTCTATGTTCTCAGCTTTTAAAATAATCCTATTTTAACTTTGAGCAATCTTTAACTTTGGGAACTTCTACTGCATCTGAGTTGTCTAATTCGTGTAATTCCCCAGAGGCTCTATTCTCTGTCATTGTTCCATCATTAGAATTTCTGCCTTAAACTACTCCACTGCTGGGAGCATACGTTTGCCTTGTGTGAGCACTCAGACAGATGGTGATAAGCTAATTTTATTTTATATTTATGCTTTAAGCAACATGAAATGGAATTTCACCCTGCAGGTTCATAGGTTTCATAACTTGTCCCTTTTATATTACAGATGTATTCACACAGTTTGACAAAATACCTTGGTGTTTATCTCTAGTTCTAATGTCTTACAATAAACATATAATAGTCTGATTTAGAAGTTTCATGCAGTTTTCTTGATGTCCCAATAGATAATTTCAGAGAGCAACCAGCAAGCAGTCTTAGCAGATTTAGCCATGTTGCTTGGATGCAGGTACAACTGACTTGTAAACTGGCACATTAAGGCATGTGTTGAGCACTGGCAGATCTTGTTAGACTTAGTAAGTAAAGCTAAAAAGAGTGAGGATTACTTCTAAATTGCCAGTGTCATCTTCTTCCCCCCACTATCAACTGTTGTTTTTTAAATCATTCCTTTGGTGTTTTAGAGAATAATTTCAAAAGGTGAAAAGGCACTTAACTTGCATGCTGGGAGCTGAACTCCTTGCCATCATCTGTACATTCTGTCCTCTGGATTTTTAGGTAATTTTATGAAGGTGCTTTGGTCTAGTTGAACGGAAGGAAAATCGCAGACTAAGCATCAACCAGTGTTGGTTTCCAACCAAAAGTTGTGTCAGCTCATGAACATGAATTATGACTTAATATCCAGCAGGTGAGACAGGAATTCAGAACTTCCTTAGTCTGGCATCACGTCTTCCAGTGGCATCACTGGGAAATTTAATTAACAACCAAGAGTAAAACTGCTGCGTGGTAACTCCTTCACTCATTCAGTACATCGTTATCGTATTCAGTGTCATTCAGGGGAAAATAACTGCTGAAGATTCCATGCCTTCCTCTGCTTTGTTTACAGTCCTTCCAACCATTTTCTGTTTTTGTTGTTTCTCCCTGCTTATCCACCCTGTTTCCATGCACCTTCAACAGAAATGCGCTGAACGAATCTAATGAACCATCAGGCATTTTATGTAGAGGTGATTCAGGAAGGGATTATTTTCCTTTTTTTTTTTTTTTTTTTTTTTTTTTAGATCTGTAGAAACTTCACTCTGTTTAAAGCATCTTCACACATTGCTAGTTTTAAGTCCTTTGCTCAGTGGACCTGGCTGCTTTAGTATCTGCAAATCTTCTTCATATCTCTGCAGCTGAGACCAAAATCCTGCGTTGGGTTCTGCTACAGGTCTGGCAGTCTTCACAGCCTAGGGAACAGGAAAGAGTGGTAGAAGCAAGGTGCCCTGCATTTGTGAGTGTCCTGCATTTGTGAGTGTCCTGTAAATGGATTTTTTTCCTTAGACCTTAGATTTACTTCGGTTTTGATTTGACCACAGAATAACGAACAGCTATTTTGGTGAGCTGACCTCACTCTGTGCTCACTATGACTTGGCATGTGGTCCCTGTTACAGAAGGGATTCATGGCTGAGACATGAGAAGGAGCTGTTGAATTTGCTGGAAATGCGAATGTCTCTTACAAAGTGTGCTGACACTGCTCATGTTTAAGATAGCGTGAAACTGCTCACTCTCTGCACGCAGTCTAATGTGAGCAAAATGGTTATCTAAAGACTTCAGTCATACTCCTGCCAAACGGGTGAAGACTAAAGGCCCATAGTGTCCAAGTCGTTTGTATTGGATGGGCTTCCCAGGAAAGCTGAGATGCTACTGCTAGTCCCTGGCCATTGAGCAGGCTTACCAGGATGTTTCTTTCATGTGTGGAGCTGTCACATAGGTGAAGGAGCAAATCCTGCAAAACAATTCCTGCAGCCACTCATTTGTCTCTGTCTTTATTGTCACTTACTGTGACTATGCAACTGACAGAGAAAAATGGTCACTAAACAACAAGCTTTGCATGTTTGCTACTGGTGCTCAAAGCCTATTTGCATTTGTAATTATTTTGTCCCAGAAACCTCACACTGAAAGGTCATTTGTCCAAGCTGGAGGTGAAAAAACTTGGAGGGGAACATTTATTCAAAATGTTGAATATCTGTATAACTGCTAATGGGCAGGTGAGAGCCCAAAATAATTGATCATTACTCAGAACGAGCCTTGCATTTCTTCCCCAGAAGGAGTCTAAATATAAATCTGGGCATAAGCACGTTACCTCAAACGCGTCCTTGAGCGGGAGCTGCCGGTGTCTCATGAGATAAGCCGTGCAAATGGCAGCCGACCGGCTGCGGCCGTTCTTGCAGTACACCAGGCACTTCCCCCCGCCCCGCACGGCCTCCTCGATAGCGGCGCCGCACGGCTCGAAGTACCGGTACAGGTCCTCGGCCGGGTCGTCGAACACGGGCACGCGAATTCCGCGCACCCGCGGGAGGCCGGGGAACGGCTGCTGCCTGGTGACATTGATGCAGAAGGTGACCCCCTCCCGCGACAGCAGCTCCTCGTCGCAGGCTGCCCTGGCCGTGCCGAGGAACAGGGAGGCCGTGACCTTGCAGAGCTGGAGCATCGGCAGCCCAGGGTCCCGGCCCCTCCGCGCCGGGGCTGGGGGTGCGGGGGCTCCTCGGCGGCAGCGCGGCTGGGCCGGGCTGTACTGTCCGTTCCGTGCAGGCTGGGGCGTAGAGGCTCCAGGCAGGTCCTAGTGCCGGCTGCATCTCGAGAGCTGCGTTTGGAAAGCTAAAACGCTTTCAGAGGCCACAGCTCACTTGAGAACTAGTTGGATTTTACAGTCCCCACCCCTACAGCAGCTGTGTTCTGCACGGGAAGGCTGCTGCGGTCAGTGCTGTTGGTGCAGGGATGCAATATCGATGTGAGCTCCTCCAGAGCATCTTGGGGCCCCTCACACACGACAAAAGCATCTTTTGGGTGCCCAGAAAATTATTTACTAGGCTAGCTGGATAGCATAGCACTAATTTCTCTGGACTTCCGTAGAATTGCTGGTGTGGTGCCAGGGCAAGAATATCTTACACTGGAGCGTACACATGGGTTAGAGCTGTGCAGGACGGGTGGGGATGGGGCCAATGGCCCGGCCAGGTGAATGCCACATCAGCCAGTGCCACAGGGCTGATCGCTGGTACCATCCACTTCCCGGAGCATTGAACATGTGGTTGAGCTGCTTCACCCCTCTGCTTTCTGGTGAAACAGGAGCATGTGACCAATATTTGTTGCTGGCACAAAAATGAACCTGGACTATCACAGCAGCAGAGCACAGACTAATAGGACAAATCTGATGACTTACTGGTTTATGAGTTCCTGCACTGGTGTGCAGGTCTTCCCTGGGTGCCCCCATCCCAGGGCAGCATTTCTGTCACATAAGCACCATGTCACTGTGGCCACACTTGTGCTTCCTCACTCCGAGGCTACAGATGTTTACTTGCTACCTGCCTGCAGTTGACTTAAGAATGGTCATTCATGCCAGAAAGGTTGTCCCTTCCCACCAGACTGCCCTGTATCATGTCCCTGTGCAGAGCAGGAAATAGGGACAGGGCACTTATCCTTACATGGAGAGTGATTTATAAGGTAAATGCAAATGCCACCTTCTGGCAGTGAAGACAGTTGCCAGCTCTGCAAGATGATGGTCAAACTGCAGGGTAAAAGCCTCATCCCCTGACTAGAAAAGGTCTGATGCCTCAGTCCAAATTTTGCTGGGGGACTTCTGGTCTTCGTGCCACTGCCAGCTAGGGTTTGGTGCAAACAGCCCCAGTTATACTGGCTGTGTCTCATCCTTTTCCATGCACCTGTAAAGTGTCTGCCCCCATTGTCTTGGTGAGCTCCCTGTAGGTACCAAGCTGTTGTTAGAGCTCTGAAGTCTTTCCTTCCCAGGCAAGCAGGGCTGTGTGGCTGCAGGGAAGTGGGAGCTGAGGTTGTATCACATCCTACACCTCCTGCAAGCTCTTAGCAGTGAATCTGCAAACGCACTGCAGCATCACTGCAAACACAGTGGCATCACAAATTGCAGCAATGTTTTCAGACAACTTTAATACACACACAGCTATAAGTGGATATTATTTAAGATCATCATTAGACACAGAGGAGGCAAAGGAGGCAACTGGTGTGCAAACAACTTCTCCAAGGAGAAGACCTACATTTCTGCACTTGTCTGTATTTATATGAATGTGTGCATGTGGTGCAAATAGCTGTAACTGCAGGACAGGAACCTAAAGAAATGCCTACTCGCTCAAGGGTATCACTCAGTTTATTAAATTTAGGTGGTATTTGCTTCCAGGAAGAAAGATACACTTCTAGTAGTTTCCAGTTATCAAGTCTTTCTTAGACACTTCACGAGCAGCTTCTGATGCGTTACCTTGACAGCTGTATTTAACCACTACTGGAAAGGACAGAGCTGAAGCACAAACCTTTCTGATGCACCAGTTCATTGTCAAGCACATGCTTAAGATCAAACATTCACATCACTTCTTTGCTTGCTGTGAGCCCTGCCAACAGCTGCACTGGTGTAAGGCCATGGCTGTAATTACCACAATACTTCGTAATGATCAATATCAAGGGCATTTCTGATTCCTTATACTGTTATACCACTTCTTTCTGTGCTTCTACATGAGAAAGAGAACATTTAGCATCCTTGCTTTGATGACTCAAGCCAGGCTCACCTTGTTCCCACAAACACACATCTATACATCCAACCCAGCAGCTGCTCCTCTGGAAGATATGGGGTTGGATGCAGGTAAACCTCTGCTGCCAACACTGGCATCAGCCCATTAGAAACTTGTGGTTGAAACACCATTTCATTGCTCGGACTCCTGACCTGCCCTTTATCTGTGCTTTAATGAGGGAAAAAGACAGAAAATGCCAAACTCAGCTTAAATGGAGAAGAAATAACTGCCCTGTTATCTAGGTTTGTCTCCAGCCTTTTTATTTATACAAGGATTCAAAGAACATATTTCAACTTTAGATAAACAGTGCAAGAGAGTTACAAGTACCTTGGTAACAGAAAGAAATAGATAATTGTCCAGCTATGCCGATAAGTGAAATAATTCTTACTTCTGCAGGTAGAAATGCATCTGTTTAAAGCAAAGATGGACTTCAGATATTCTGCTATACCTTAGCCCCTACCAAGCCCACCAGAAAACAACAGGCAGCTTGTCATTTGTAAATGAGAAGTAGCTGTGCTCTCAAAGCCTTTTGAGACCCTTGCCCTTAGTTAAAACATACATGTTATGGCACAAAGAGCAGGCTGAAAGACAGTGACACTTGGAAATCCACTATTTCTGGTT